ATTATTTGTCATTTCAAATCCTTTTTGGAACGAGTTGGAGAATAAATAAATACGGATGATGCATCAGAAGGGATGGAGCCCCTCAGTCTAAACAGCTATGAATCTGGTGGTCTAAATGGGGGTATAAGTATGATATCACTGTTTATTTAAGTTCTGGTTTTCCATGGCTGATTGATGTTTTCTCAGACTGTGAATCCACATTAGAGAACAAAGTTGCAGCACAAAGCCTTGTTTTTCTGTGTCTGAGATCCCTGGATATGCTACAGAGATTGGCATCTTAGCACCATGGAGTATTTTCAGGAAATTTGGGGGTGATGAGCAGTTATCAATTGACAGAATAGCATCTATATTAGGATGAATGTGGCAGCAGGCAAGATGCATTTATCCGTTGTTGAGATGAAAAGCTGATTACACAGCCGAGGGCAAATGAGGTGGAAACATCTTGGAGATTAGGTTTGCTCCCTGTGTCCTACATTTCAGAGGGATGCGATCATTGGTTTAATGTTTCCCATGGACAGCTTTTCTCAGAGTTGAAATAAAGACAAAATCTATCCTGGAGAATGTGGCATGTAGAAATTCAGCTCAGTCAGGACAAAGAGCAACATTTAAAATCAATGGTCCTATGGTTGGCATTCTCAAATAATTGTGTCACCCCCTTTCTGGGACAGGGGAGGACACTGAGATTCAGACTGATTAAGGTGGTTTGGGCCACATCGTGTACTGAAAGTGTAAACCCTTTCTAGAATGATGTTATGCGGCTGTATCCTGTCAGAGCACAGTCCTTCTGTTGAAGGGCAAATCCATTCCCCTGGGAATGCTCACTGGGGGGCTCTTCCTACCCGTGTTCCCGTCACGTCTTCCAGAATGCACCTGCAGTGTCTAATCCCCACGTTCACTCCAGCTGGTCTCCCCTTGGCATCCACACAGGAGATCCACAGATGCCTGTTCTCTGACATCAGTTCTTCAATACAAGAAACTCCTTGCTTCTGCCTGGTCACATGATGGGAGGGTGGGATATGGGACTCAGCCGCAGATGATGCCACCTGCCACATCTCATCTCTTTGTTCCCTGTCTAGAGTGGCATCTTTCTGAAGGGAGCCACCAAAATGTCTATGTCCTTTTCTCTGTGCCTGCCTTCTCTGCTTCTTTTTCAAATACTTCTGATTTTTCTTTGCCACTGAGGTCACCTACCTCCGGGAAAGAGAGAGATGCAATTAAACATAGTGGATCACTTATTTTATGCAAGGCATGATGGCGATAAAGGATTTCCCTGGTGGCTCAGACAGTAAAGAGCCTGCCTGCAATGCAGGAGACCTGGGTTCGATCCCTGGGTCAGGAAGATCTCCTGGAGAAGGGAATGGCTACCCACTCCAGTATTCTTGCCTGGGAAATTCCATGGACAGAGAAATTGGCAGGCTAAGTTCATGGGGTCACAAAGAGCCAGAAATGACTGAGCGACTAACACGTGGGGATAAAGAGGTAAAGCACTGCCAATCCTCTCCCTCAAGTTGCTTTGAACCCAAAGGAGGGAACAAACATTAATATGTCTGCAGCCCTTTATGAGGGACGAGGGGATAAGAGAAGTGCAAACAATGTGCTACAGAAGCATAAGACTGGACATGAATTCTGACAGGGGAGGAAGGAAGGCTTCAAGGAGGAAGTGACTTGTAAGCTGAAGCATAATGGAGGAAGGAACTGCTTATTTCATTCTCTGAATGGAAGCGCTTAGTGGTTGACCTGACATCCGTGGTTTTTATTGACTATAGCAGGTCACAGTAAGACTGAGAAGCATCAGGTATAAAGAGGATCCATCTGAAGATCCATCTATCATTCTTGGAAGAAAGGGATGGTTTAATCTTTTGAGAGAAGTTAATGATCAGTGAACACTAGTAACGTTTCTTTCTGTTACAGTTTATGGTGGAAGCATAATTGAACAGGTACATTGCAGATGTTCCCCTCCCCAGTCCAAGGTCAGGAGTAGTCATCTTTGGGCATTAAGCTGCTTGAGTTATTAAATACATTTTACACAAACAGTACTTGAGTGCATAGGAATCACCTGGGATATTTTATGAAACTGCAGCTTCCAATTCTGGGGTGGCTCTGAAATTCTGCATTTCCAAGAAACTTCAAGGTGAGGTTGACCTGATGACACATTGATTGGAGTGAATGTCATTATCTCATTTCACTAGAAGTGAACTAGGAGGTAATAAAGAGAGTTTTGGAACTGATGGGGAGTTAGATAAAAACCTTCCACCAACACTAAGGGCTTAAAAAAAGACATGTAAACATTACATGAAGCCCAAATAGGCAGGAACCATCTTTTGTATTTTCTTGCTTCCCTTTAGAAAGTGGAGTACTTTGATAAACTGACCAAATTCAGTATTTTAAAATCCATACCACATATTTCAGAGAGGGGAGCATTTCTATGGGGCTTATTAGAAATAACTTCTTCCCTTAGGGAGGCAGAATGGTGTATTGTAAAAATGTGGGCCTCTGGGTCTGAAGGATTTGGAATGAAGACTTTCTGAACTGTGTAACCTCAAGTGAGTTTCTCTCTGATCTCAGTTTCTTATCTTTGGAATGAGGATAATACTCACCTTGCCAGGTTGCTGTGAAGACTGGCAATGATGTTTACAAAGTGATCTCTTCAAGCCTGATCTACACTGTGTGTCCTCAACTCAGCTGTGCTTCATCGAGGTCATGAAATTGGTTTTATTGAAATGGACATTCTCAGAGTCTAGTACAGCCACTAACGTTTATTAGGCACTTAGTAATTGCTTATTAAACAGGAGGACATAGAACACTAAATGTCTATACCACTAACCTGTTAATTAGTATGCACCTTTCTATTATCTACAACATTGAACTTATTTATATTTTGTCTTTATAAATAAATTTTTGAAAAAATATTTTTCTTTCTCTTTAAGTCACTTCCTACACACTCCTCCCTCCCAAGTTTAGAGCAATTTACATATTTCTGAGTTTGACTAAAGGTTAGAATAGGATTTATTAATCTCTCCAGGGAGCTTTTGAAACAATGCTGGAAAAAGACTTTTTTCTTTCCAGGACTAAGCTCTCATGCTCATGTTATTATCATGTTGGTTTACTTTAAAAGATTCCTGCTTCAGTTAAAATCTAGTTACGTTCAAGCCCTGGAAAAGTTTACTCCCTCCCCATCAATATCAAATCCATTTGTGTTCTATGAGCAAAGCTAACTTGCAGTTGCTCCTAACACATTTCAGAGGTGATGCTTCACTCTTGGAAGTGCTTCTGAACAAAGTTTCAAAAAGTGTGAGAATTGGGTCCCTCTAAGAAGGCAATGGCACCCCACTCCAGTACTCTCGCCTGGAAAATCCCATGGACGGAGAAGCCTGGTAGGCTGCAGTCCATGGGGTTGTGAAGAGTCGGATATGACTGAGCGACTTCACTTTCACTTTTCACTTTCATGCACTGGAGAAGGAAATGGCAACCCACTCCAGTGTTCTTGTCTGGGGAATCCCAGGGACGGCGGAGCCTGGTGGACTGCCGTCTATGGGGTTGCACAGAGGCGGACATGACTGAAGTGACTTAGCAGCAGCAGCAAGATAGTTTTTCAGGTTAAAAAGTAAAGTTTTAAAGTAATGAGTAGTGTCAATGTTTTCTGTTCTTCTTCTAAATGATAATAATGGGCTTTAAAAAGAAGTACTGACTCAATTCCTAATTCATTATAAGATCCTGGGACAGTTACTTGACTTTGGCCTTGGTGTTCTTATCTAAAAGGTGAAATTTACACAAGATAGATGTATGGATTGAAGGAGATAACTAAAAAGTGCCTATCAGTGTTTGACTAATATAAGTAAGAATACATCACAGTGGCCATAAACTATTATCTAGAAAAAAATTTGAAGAATAAAAATCACTTTAAAATATCTTTCCAATTTTTTCACATTTATTTATGAGTTGAACAGAATATTATCTGCACAGAATTTGTTTGGGATAGAATGCTCTTCTGAAGTCCCGGAAGGATGATACATTTTGCATTTATCAGGAAGCAGATTAAAGGCAATGCCCCTTCTTGTCCACCCACTTGGAACAGATAGGCCATCCAAATCACAGAGCAAATCACCGTATCATTCAGGCTTCAAATCCTCTTATGAACCGTTTTAGAGTAGCTCATTCCAGTAATAATTACATTTATTTATGGGAAAAATAATTTATCTTGGCATTAAGTACGCTGATTCTCCAGCACAGAACGCCAGCAAGCAGGTACCCTCCACTGTGAGGCCTTTTGACATCCGGACTCAGTCTTCCCTTCCGGAATTGCCAAGTCCCCTTGTTCAGATTTTTGCCCAAACCTGGTTAGCTCTTATTTTCAAGTGGTCAAAGCAATTTACCTGCCATGGATTCTGGCTAAAAAGCAATATGGATGCAGAACTGGGAGTGTGAGGGAAACTAACATAAAGAGCTTGTGTTTCCCTGTAGATTCTATTTCTAGAGTTTTCTGCTTTGACTCCTTTTAGCACTTACGATCTGGGGTTGCTAGGGTTGCAAGGGCACTGGCCATTGACCTGATCACTGGAGCAGCACCGCCTTGTGGGGTCTCCGAGGCGTGGGAATCTCAGAAACCGTGGTTGCCATGGGCCCGCTCCCTTCCCCCCATTGTTTCGAATCAGTCTAGGGCGTGCACCTGAGAGGCAACCTAGAGCAGGCAAGCTGGGGACACGGGGCCAACGATTGGCTGTTGCCCTTGCGGTCTACCTTAGATCTAGCCTTGAGACCATCACCTCCTACCCAGGAGCCTGGATATGCGTTGCCCAATAATCTTGCCGCTCTGCTCCTGATTGGGCGCTGTAGCCTTCCACCCCACCTTGCTATCCGCCCTCCAAGGAGCCGCTACGCGTTTCCATTGGTCATCAACCCTGCCGATCAGTCCATAGCTTACCTCCCCCAAACAGCCCGTCGGGCGAGCGCGTGCTAGGGAGGCGGGGCCTCACGTTTGGGGGTGGGGCGGGGGCGGGGCCTCGACGGAGGCCGGCACAGCGGCAGCTTCAGGCTCTCGCTCTCGGACTGGAGCGCAGCATCCTCGCTGCGGCTACCGCTGCTGCACCTGGTCAGGTAAAGAGAGCCTTGTCCGTCCCGCTGACGGTCTGCCCCGCCTCTTCTTCCCGACCAAAGGTTGCCTGCTCCGCCTCCTGAGACTATAAGGGCTCTAGGAAAGAGGCGTCAAATCTGTTTTGCCCGCTTACCTTATCTTTCTCCCCTACTGCGTCTGTTCTTCCAGCTCCGCAACTAAGAGGTTCCGAAGTGCGTTGTTGGGCCCTCCACCCGGGTCTTCCTAACGCTCCTCATCACAGAACTGTCTGTTAACTCCCAGCCCTCCCGACCCGCCAGCGCTGTCTCGTTCTCACCTCGGCACAGGCAGGGTGGAAGGGCGGGTGGGGGAGGGAGCGATGCAGCGCTGCATTTTGAAGCTGGATGTGTTTAGTTCTGAGGGGGAGTACTTAAGTGGGGCTCGTTTGGGAACGGAAGTTGCTTCCTGGTTTTGACTGGGAGTGACTAGAAGGCTATCTGTTGCTGCTTTGTGCTTATATTTATAGGTGGCATTCACCATCAGTATTTTCTTCTTTCATCATCATCATCAACAGCACCACGACCACCGCCATCAACATTTCTCTTCCTTCCATCAGAGCTCTTCAAGTTCTGCAAAAGCAGACTCTGTTCAGGCATGTAAGTGTTGACCCCCAAATAATAAGCAATGACCTTGCCCCACCTGAGGCCAGAGCCAAGGACTCCTTTAACTCAAGGACAAGTAGCTAGGAACGGAGTTGAATGGGAGGAGTTTCTTTATCCCCCTTTGGGTTGTTGAGATTGCCACAAAAAACCCTTTGTTTTAATCATTCACACTACTGCTTGCTGGCTCCTGGAGAATTTGACATTGGTATTGGCATTCATACATTCGTGGTGGGCTGAATGCAGAGTCGTGGACCAGTGATACAGGCCTGTGCAGTACGGAGGCTTCAGTTGTGGAGAGGTGAATCCTCAGATCCCTTAGGAGGACCAGGTCAGGTAGCTTAGCGTCTGACTTTCTTCTGCAGTGGCTCTATATGGGGTGTGTGCCATCATGTGCACATCTTCTTGGGGACTGAAGCTCCTGGGGAGAGATTTATGTTATGGGCACGCTGTTGGTTTTCAACTATCGAGCTCAGCTGTTCTTAGGGCTAACCCCAAGATCACTTGGCTCTCATGCTTCTTAACCATTAGGAGGAAAGACAGCAAAGCTAAGGGTTGCATATCAAATTAACTCATTATGGAAGACAGTGCCTTAAAAGTATTATGCAAGTCCTAGATCTTCTTGGTCAGCCATATATAATCATTAGTCTTGTTTTTCTCAACTGTTTATAGTGCAGGAGGACCCATGAATGAAACGCCTTTAGATACCTGTAGGAGCAGAGGAGCAGAGGGTCATCCCTGGAGGAAAACAATGGATAGAAGTTGGAAGGCAGTACATCATAATGCTTAAACTTAGAGACCTGTCACATGGGTTCATGTCCTGATTCAACCACTTGCTAGCTGAGTGCATTTTGGCAAGTCACTAACCTTTTGAATTTTAGCTTCTTGTCTATAAAATGAGGATAATATTACCTGCCTTATAGGGGATGTTGTTAAAATGCTCAGTAGTTCCTGACACATTGTGAATGAAGAATGAATGTACATTTTGTTAATAATACTTACCCACAAGGATAATAAAGGCCAGTGTTCTGTCCCTAAAAAGTACATTTTTACCCCATTGTCTTTCTCCCTCCTTTTTTGGTCTCAGAGATGATCCCAGGGGGATGGCATTCTTCAGGCTCCTCATAAGACTCTATCTTAGAGAAGTGGCGTGTGTTTGGACAGATATTTCTCTCTCCACCTGAGAAGATGCTGAGCAAGCTCTGTTAAGACACATTAGAGATGTAGCTTTAGAGAAGGTGTTTGGACCTCTGGGCCTGTCCTAGGTTGCTCATTTTCCCCAGGGTGTTCAGTGCACTGACTTGGTAAATTGCACTTTTCACAGAATCACTAGTGAGTGCATTGGCTTCTGCCCAGAAGAAGCAAAGCTACTTCAAAAATGCCCCTGGGAATAGAAGAAATTCTAACTTGCCAGCATGGAAGAATTTGTATTTTACAGTATTTTTGTTCTCTAAGAATAGTGTGTTTTTCTTTGTTCATGTAAAAAGTATGGACATCTTTGTGGTTTAGTTTTCTTTTGTAGAAGGAGAAGTTAACAGGCTTAACTGCTCTTGGGGATACTTTGAAATTTAGAGTATATTATCAATATTCATTAGGGTATTTTCTGTTGTATAGGATGGAAACCCAGCTAGAAAGAATTCTAAGCAAAAATGAACACTGTGGCTAATATAACTGAGCCATGACCAGACTCTAATGTTACGGTGAGGAAGTTGGTCTACGCCCAGCTTCTGAGATTCGAATGCTTTTCTGGTTGTTAGCTTGCATTCTGTTTCTTCATACCTTTGAATTCTTTTATTTCTGCCCTTATTTCTGTCTTGGCTTTTTCCTTCCTATCACAGGCCTTGTCTTCTCAGTGCCTTCATAATGTCTACATTCACATCCATCTTGCTCTGTAACCTGAGGATAATCCCCTTCTCCTTATTTCCATAGTGAATCCACAGGGAAGAACTGTGATCCATCAGTCCTTGGTAACAGACTTAACTGTTTAGAATGAAGGTCTTGGCTAAGAGGATGGGATCCTTTGGGTCCTATGATTGTCTGGGGGTATATCTGCTTCTTTACTCTCTAGACATAAAATTGGTAGAGCTGTCCCCAAAATAGGAGGGTTGGGAAGAATGGGAACAGACTAGAGCTTGATGTGATGAAGGTAAATATCCTTGATAGAGGATTCAGAAACACTCCTCTCCTGCCTCACATGTGGCAATTCAAAATCATTTTATGTTAAAGCTTTGGACTCATGCCTGTCATCCCAGGCAGTGGTATTTTAGATGATCTTGCCCTTAATGGTTTTCTTATTAAAACCTGATGTGTATAATTGTGAAAATTTATCAGAAATATTTAATACTATACAGTGATTCTACTGTTGGTAGATCATGTTTGGGGATTGCTCATAGCCTCTTGCTGGGACTTTATTTAACAAGAGCATTATTTTTAGAGGCACTGTGTTAAAAATCACCTTTATTCTCAGCAGGTCCCAGCCTGTGGGTTGTTGAAGTTATAGCCATTAATCTGATTTGCTTGATCTTGTAAAGATGCTAAACCATGGGAATTGTATCCTTACAGAGCAAATATGAGCTTGCACCAACAGGCTGGCCATGGGAGGGAATTGAAACATCCCTGTGTTTAGTGTCTGTGTAGAAGTGCTAACGAAGCAGTCGTCTGTATGCCCTGTAATATAACTGCTAGAATGGAAAGATGGAAAGGAGGCTAAGAACTTCCTTACCTTGTCAACATATGAAAGCCAGCCTCTGGGAAATGGACTATTCCCTCCCACTTAGTTTTCTCAAGTTCTCTGGCTAGATGTGTAATGAGTCCCTGAATAATCTTTATTTCTATATTTCTTTAGATTTTCAACACCTAATACCAGAGTTTTGTATGAGGCTAGGGTAGGCCAGAGAGTTGGTCTTCCTTTAGGCCACTTCGACTCACTGTTTTCCTGAAATGTCCTCTGTAATTCACCTCTGCAGAAAGCAGGCTATTGGCTAGGTTTTTTGTTCTTGGTTTTTTGTTTTTGTTTTTTTAAACCAGTTCATCTATATCCTTACCTTAATTGAAACTGACCTGTATTATGTTCCATCTTATTAGGGCTGTATCTGTTTCTCCTTTCTAAATTGTCAGATCATTCTTGAAGACCAACATCTTTCAAATTAAATGCATTTTACCTTGGTCTTCTGAGTCACAGACTATTGGGGGAAATATTTTGGAGGGAGATAGAATTTTTTTTTAACAAGAGAAAAATAAACAGAAGTTTATTAGGATGTGTGTGGAGCTTACATGTGGGAAGACTCAGACATGAGTTACCCCAAGGGGCAGTTAGAACCTGGGCTTGAGATCATTTTAGGTTAAAGGAAAAGGAATCTGGGGCTTCTGGGTGGGCGAGGCAAGTTATGAGAAAGTAACCTGGAAAAGTTTTGGTAAACGAGGGTTGTTTGATAAGGTTATGCAGATTTCAGTCTGATTTCTCCATTGGTAAGAGTTGAGTTCTCTGGAGAAGGAAATGGCAACCCACTCCAGTATTCTTGCCTGGGAAGTTCCATGGACAGTGGAGACTCACAGGTTACAGTCCAGAGCGTTGCAGAGAGTCAGGCACGACTAAATAACAACTGCAGACAGTAATGGCCTTAGGGATGATTTAACTGGAGCATTGTTTTAAAAATAAACTTTTTATTTGGAAACAATTTGAGATTTACAGAAAAATTGTAAAGGCAGTACAGAGAGTTCCCATAGGCCCCACACTCAGTTTCCCATATTAGTAACATCTTAGATTCCTTACATTACTATGGTACCTTTGTTACTACTAATCAGTGAATATTGAAAAAAAATTTTTAAAGAGTTCTCTGTGAGAGAAGGAAATACCTTTCTCAAACAGAAATATCTTACACAAATGTAAATTTCCTTATAAAAGGAAAACATGTGCATTGGTTTTAGAGCTTTCCTGCATCTGCTGGTGCTCAGTGGTTTTTTTTTTTGTTGTTGTTGTTTAATTCAGTGGTATTTAACTCAAAATAATCCATATGCCAAAGAGGCATATTTTGCAGTAGCATATTCTGGTACCCCTTATTCTGCCCTTTAACACTTCATTTTTTTTTTTAAGAGGTTTTATATATCAAGATTGAGCTGGTAGCTGTAGGAGATTCTGGTTAGGGTTTGTGAGAATAGAGATGCACAAAGGGAGAGAGAAAACAAGAATAACAACACAGATTGGAACAATCTATGAGAAAGAAGAAAAGGACAGATTTAAAGCATTGCCCTGGTTCACTGAGTCGTTCTCTCAGTCCTGGAACAGGTCAGTTCAGTTAAACAGTTGTGTCTCGTTTCAGGAGGTGGTAGAGTAGGTGGGAGTAAGGTGACCCCTAAGTTAGGCCTCTATACAGTGTGATAAATGCTCCACTTAGTAAGGGACGTTTCACTGGAAATGAGGAGAAAACCAAGATTAATGGTTAGAACAAACTCTAAACCCAGTTTTTGAGTCCAGAGGGCAGTTGGGTCAAAAAGATTTCTAGATACTGGGCTTGAAGCATCCTTGAATGGTAGAACGAGGACAGGCAGTGTCAATTTGATGAATTTCCTGGTTTGCAGTTTCTGCGTCCCTGATGATGGCATGGGGTATTCCAGGGAATTTTCTGAGCACCCTATCCAGCAACCAGAATGAAGATTGGTAGGCAGGACTTTTTAATATTTGTGTGGGTCATCAGAATGTAGGCATTAAAGGATGAGCAACAAATGCAGTCAGAAGGCTGACCGAGGGGCAGGTGGTAGATAAGGCTGTAAGTGCAGGGCAAGGGACACATTATGTTGCTTGCTGTTATTGTGGTTTTGTTGCCAAGTTGTGTCCAACACTGCCATCCCATGGATTGTAGCACACCAGGCTTCCCTGACCACTGTCTCCTGGATTTTGCTCAAACTCATGTTCATTGAGTCAGTGATGCCATCCAACCATCTCATCCTCTGTCGTGCCCTTCTCCTCCTGCCCTCAACCTTTCCCAGCATCAGGGTCT